TGCTGCAATACATCGAGGGTGGCAGAATGTCGCTGAACGGGTGCGTCTCCGGCGCTGGTTCTGTACAGGCATTTCCAGGATCACAGTCATGCGTGGATCCGCTTGCAGCCCTGCGTTTCACTGGTGGGGTACCACGGTCAGCGAGGTTCCTTTCTTTCCTCTTTTTGGGGACAGGCTTTGTCAGATACGAGGGGGCGTCGGGGAATATCGTAGGGACGGCGTCGTCGGTGAGCACTGGACGTTCGCGGTCCAGCTCGACGAGCTCTCCATTGATGACGTGCTTGAAAGTTTTTTCTATGTAGCGTTCATCAAAGTGACGGGAACACACGACACAGGTTTCGTCGAGAACTTTGTCTTCTCGCTTGATGTTCCTCGCCCATTCTTGCCGACGAAGGGGGTCGACTGGAGCCCGGAACAACGATACTTTTTCTGCAGCCGATTTGTAGCCGCCTTTGCACAACGGCACGAAGCAGGTCCTACCTTTCTTCGCCGGCATGATCAGATGCATCCAACACACTGACGCATGACACACCGTTGGTCTTTCGCTGTGCACCGCGATGTAATCCACAGATCCGCACAAACAACAAAGGAAGACCCTCGGACGGCTCGGTTCTGTCACACGGAAAAATGTGCTTCCGCCATTTTCGCCCGGGCCGCCAACGGGGAGAATAGCGCGCCTGCTGGACGCAGCGCCACCTGCGCGCGTCATCCAAACCGGTTTCTCCGTGGCCGCTTGAAAGAGCGTACGCTCGGGACACTAGGAAACCCTTTCTAGCCTCTGTAACGGCTGCGCAAACAAAAGAAAAGTGCTACTTCTGGCTATGGCTAGAGACGAAAGGCCTCGAGCCCGATAGAGTCCAGAATGGCCCCGCTTTCGATCATTTATTAATGAACAAAATAAATAATTTTATTGTATATAGTACCAAATAACACTAATAATTTTTTTAATTATAAAATTGTTTTTAATCACTTTAGCACTTTAGTCGATAATAAAGTTTGGTTGTGTTGGTGAACATTGGTGGACGTCGCTAGGTGACGCAAGCTACCGCGCGTTACTACTCGTTACAAAGGGTACTTATCTATCCATCCAGGCAGCGTACCCAAAATGGCAGCCGTGTTTTCCCGGTTTTCCCGTTCTTCCTAAGCGTTTTTCCAAGCGTTTTTCCGATGACACCGATTGAGAGCAGACGAAGTGATCCGCGTACAAGCTTTTCATCATCAGAAGTTTAAGAACTCAGGTTTACGAGTGCTACATCTGTGCATACTCTTTGATAGGCGCTTCAGATGTGCGAGTTCATATCGCGGGTGACGAAACTGTAGAACGGAAGCTCTGCGAGCGCTCTACACGGCCCTCGTACTTCCCATTTTGGACTGGAGTATTGCTCGGCGACCTGGTCCCCGCCCCAGCAGCACCTCTGGGAACGGCTCGAAAGTGTGCAGCGCCGTGCGACACGGATCATCTGTGGCACAGCGGACGGCTCGTACGATGCACGCCTGGTGTGGGTGCCCTTGGTCGGCGACCCCCCACGAGAGGCGACGGGCCTCACGGATGCGCGCACTGTGCCGGATGCTCGATGGACCGCTTTCCGGGATCTCGTTGTACTCCGCAGTGCGGACAAGCAAAAGAACTGGGCAGCCTGAGCCTCTCCGTGGGAGGACCACCCGCCACTGCTAGCTCTTCTCTCGCCAACTGGCTTTGAGCTCGTGACGACCAGTGACTTGCACCATTATTTTTATTGTTGCTGTGTGTGCTTGTTTTGTTTTACCCTACTGAGTCCCCTTTCTCCTGTCTCCTGCACTGTAGGGGGCGGCCTGCTAATAGGCGCATATGCATAAGGGTTATCACCTTCTTGTCTAGCCTTGCACGTCGTCGCATACACGTCAAATCCGTGTGCAAATAAATTACAATCGCAGTTACAATTACAGAAACAAAAACAATGGTGACAAATATTCCTGCACAACTATACACTGCATTGACCCTTAAATAAGGTGCAGCGAAGGCTACAGCCACTAGACCGCAGCTTTGCAGCGTGAGACGGCCCTTTGGATATGAGTGAGCGAAAGGGCACGTGGTGCATGCATCCTGCTTCGTGGGCGCTTGCTCACTGGGGCCATTCGAAAGCGTTTGAGCTTGCTCGTGCTGCATGCAGGTGTAGCTCTACCAAAACTGAAGTGGCAATTGGGGAGACTGTGCATTCCGTTTACTATTTCTGATTACTGGGAGGCCATGCTCCGTCCATTTTAATTAAATATTCATTAGTTAATTCAGAAATTACTTCAGTAAAACCAAACTGCTACATCCATTCAATGGAGCCCTTTACACACAAAAGTACAATAGTTCCCAGACCATAGTCTGCAGACTATACATGCCTAAAAGTTAATATTTCACTCTGCAGACTATCTGCAGGTGCAGAGGATACTATACATTTTGTGTCTTTCGTTCTAGATATTTTACAATACAATATTTACAATATGTTTTGCTTTGCTGAAGTGAGAAACAGGTCATACTGTCAGTGTGTCGTCCAGGCCTTTGATGTCTTGGGGTTGACAGGCTGTTTGCTTAAGTCCCTCCAGGCAATCTTTGTTTGTCAAGCTTAATCCTCATGAGCTCTGTGATTCACCACGACAAGCGGGCTCAAAAGGACCTCTCCCCATAATGTGGACCGTCTAAGGAAACAGATATTCAGTTTGAATTTGCCCCTGTGGACTATACACCGAGTGGGGACTGTATAAGAAAAACACTTTTTTCGAGCCAAAATTAGCCCTTGTGGGCTTCACGCCGGGTGCGGACGAAGAAATACTGTAGCGGTTTATTTCCTTAGGGCATTGAGACATTACAGAGTGGAGTGGACAGAAATATCCAATTGCAAACAAACACATTAAAAACTAAATCAAAATATTGTTAACAAGACCCCGAATTCATTATCACACTGCATCTTTAAATTCGGTGCAATCAGCTAGGCCAGCGATAAGTAGGGGGGATGATTCTTGCCTAGTGATGACATAGGTGGGAATGACTGACAATAGGTGGAGGTGTGACATAGGGGGATGTCATTGTGGTGGTGGATCTTATGAAATAAATACAGGCGAGATATGTTTCTGCAGACAGAAAGGCGTGTTGTTCTCTCAAGTTGCAGGATATTTTTGTAACATTTTATAAGTTATCACAGATGCATCTCCTTAATGTTACCTTTGAAACATAGGCTCTTTGTTTCTGGATTATATTGCCCTAACATTTCTGCAGCAACATTTCAGTAACATACGTAAAAGTAGTGTAACGTTGCATCTCACTTGTGTAACATTGTGTTGATGTTTCGAAATAATGTTTTTGCAATATGGTTTTAGTAATATTGTCGTTACATTGTTACACGTTGCATAACGTTGCACAACATTAGCCACGTTGCAGTAACGTTCCTGCAACATCTCGTGCTACTAGGGTATGTATTTAATGTGGGCAAGTGCTAACGCTGATTCCTGTTCCTATAAAACGTTTTCACACATATCCCGCATGCCGACGGTCAAAAATATTCAAAATGTGTTACAAAATCAACTACAGAAGTTGCGCGCATAATGATGTAATGCAATTGCATAGTAAGTATAAGTATCGGACGACACTTTACGGAGTGAGGCAAGAGACGCGGTGAAAGGCGACGAAAAACACGGATTCAACGCATCCGCCAAGGCGCGGACGGGAGAGCGGAGCAACAAGTTGAAGCAACCTAATGGCGGCCGCATCACGTGATTCCAAGATGGCAGCGCCCATGCGGCGGAGGGTGAAAAGGCGCGTTCACACTCTTGCAACCGAGTACGACCGAGAAAAACTTCTTGGGACCGGATGCGCTGGGCGGAGCTGGTCCTAAGAGATCGCAAGAGGCTTAAAAACCGGTTTGGTCTCTCTCAGTCGTACTCGGTTGCAAGAGTGTGAACGGGCCTTAATGCAGACAGATAGTTCGAACGGGAGCGCAATGTTAGTGAGATTGACATGTGGGATGCATTAACACTTTTGAAAAGAAAATGCAATATTATTGCACAGGAGGGTCATTCGGTGGGTGTTCTAGCAAATGTCCGTACAACCGCCCTTGGACGTCCCAAGGATGAGCCGTGCCGCGTTCCGAGTTCTTGCATCTGATGGTCCGATGGACATCCGGTGAATGTCGTTCGGCGGTAAATGGACATCCGGTGGACTTCTAAATGTCCGAAGTGAGAGGAACGTGGGATGTCCTAGGGACGTAAAATGCCTTCTGGGGAGAGTCAAGGCCGGTTCTTAAGCCTTTAGCGACGGAGCTCCACAGCAGCGCATCGGGTCCTGAAACATCGCAAGAGGCTTAAAAACCGGTATTGTCTCAGATGATCGTACTCCGTTGCAAGTGCGTGAATGAGCCTTTACACGTTTATTTAACCCAAAATAAAGGCGATATATATATATATATATATATATATATATATATATATATATATATATATATATATATATATATATATATATATATATATATATGTATATATATATATCCTTTTGTTGGTTGCCATGCACCAGCGACAGTTATCGTTGCGAGTACACTAAATGCACGATTTTGTTTTTCCCTTCACAGAAGGCGATAACCATTCTTCCCCACCGATGGAGAATCTCTAGAGCGATATAAATTTACGGGAAGTCCCATATTTAAAAATACACGTAGTGTATTAGTTAACGACGTGATGTCGCGAAGAGAACGCGCCAAATCGAAACCGAAACCACCATTGCGCGGCACATCGCCGCTAGGACTGTTTCGTTTTTGTAAACATGTAGAGCCTTTCAATATAGTTCACTATTAAACAACAGAAAAAAACTTTCTTTTGAAAATATCTGGTTTAAAACCAATCCAAAAGGAATCTACGACATCAAAATTCATCAAATTTAGCGGGTTACGGCGGACATTTAGCTCGTATTCCGAAGAACTCTCCTTGGAGGATTCTTCACAACACTGTGTTATTTGTATTATGGAAGGCAGACATGTGGCTTTGCGGCATTTGCGCGAATTTGAAGCACCTGTAATTAGTTTATTGTCCTCCGTTTAGGCTGACAGCACCCTTAAAAGAAACGTGGCCGTTTAAATCGGCCCACAACTACTCAGGATGCGGAGTCTGACGTCGCGTCGTGCTGCCGCTGCGTGTCCACGAGAATTGTCGTGTGGAAACCCGTATGAACTGTGAGTACTAGTGCCTTGAATCGTGGTTTTCTGTTCCCATTTGACGTCCGTCAAGGCTGTCGCTTTTCTTTGTTGTTTGTCACTTGTGAGCAAGGCCTTGCTTTTTTGACGGCGGTGAGAATTCTGAGTTTCGTAGCTTTAACGTGAGAATACCGGAACGTTGAAACATTTTCGTTGCTTTCAAGTCTTTGTTCTTGTCGTAGCGTCATGGACGAAAAAGTGGGGAAGCTTTTAAGTTAAAGTAAAAACTTTTAAGCTTTTAAGAAGCTTTTAAGCAAAAGTAAAACGCTGCCCAGAGGTACATACAGCTTCACGCACATTGCACTCGCAAAACACATCCACACTCCGCCGAGGCAAATTTTGGTCGGTCTCCAAGCGTGCAAAGGCACTAAGGTGCAGCACTTCGGCGTGCCAAGTAGTGCTACAGACGTTGTCTGAAGACAACACCTGTAGTGGGTTTGATAAAAAGTTTTTGACTGTTTCTCGATACTCGGTGGCGTCTGCTGCAGCAGGAGACGCCTGGGAACGTCGTACGACAAGGAGCGAATGTCTGGCTGGAGAGTGTGCACGTCACCTTGTCGCGCGGTCCAAGGCTAAGCCAGAAACTCACTTACAGACGTGTATAGAGGGTTATTTACTCAGCTAGAAGCTATGCATCGCGGGAAGAAAAATTGCCTTTTCATCACCATCAGCGTGGTCAAAGTTGCCATTTGCTGCAAATGTTGTTTGGTTAGCTGCCCCATAAGTTTTTCGAAAGCGAGCCAATGATCGAGATGACTCGCATAAATAAGCATTTAGTTCTTATCGGTGAAAGGAAAAAACATAAAAATTGCTGGTCGTTTGTGCCGAGTGGCTCCACGGCGACTCTGCATGAGCGACATCCACAGATGCCAAGCACTAGGTGATCCAAAGTAGCCAGTTTGTGACATATAGCTTGTGTGTTATTTTCATCTCTAGCCTTCACAATGTACACGAATTAGAAATTGAACTGCACTTGGCAAGGGGGCAGCCCATGAATAATTTTTCGGAGTTTTTGGACATTTACTGCTTATTAATATGGGGGCAGGTACCCAAATTAAAATTTGATTGACTAAATGGGCTGTACTGCGTACGTCGGGTTACTGTAATCGACGTTAAGTGTAGTTTTGATTTTATTCTTCCAAATGGGAATGGTGGCCGGTGCGTAGGGCTAGCATATGGTTCTACTCGTCTCACGCATGAGGTAATCGTTCATTTCAGTTTACTTTCTATACGTCCTTCAGCTTCGAGCTCAGTTTGCTGGCAATTCATGCGAGTGCATCTGGCCTGTTGTCACTACAAAGTTTTCTTGAGGTTACATTGCCTTTGGAGAGTCGTTCGTCCGCACTCTTGCTCAATCTAGTGCATGCACGTCCTAACAAGTCCAGTGACCGTCGGCCAACACAAAAACATGAGAAGAGCAAACTGAGTTGCGAGAACACCACGCAACACCTAGCACAGACGGCGAGCAGAAATGTCTCTTCACAGACCTACCACGCCGGTATTGCGGTCGAAGTAGGGCTACAGTGAAATGAGACGTCATGAGAATATTTTCTTTAACATAACAGTTACAGGTTATAACATATTTGCTGTGTGAATGTTATGACAGTGGGAAGCAACATTATAGAATCACTCAGTTCGGAAACTGCCGTAGAGCCTGCTCTGAAAAAGTGGCCCCGATCTGTACACGAGAACCGAGCTAATGGAGAATGCTATGCTGCCATTTTTCCCGCAGCTGTCACTCGGGGAACTGCACGACTGCATGTATTGATTCGGGAGTATTGCATTCAAAGCGTCCACTGTGACTGTTCTATTTTGTCATTAATCAGCCATTTTTGCGCCGAAACATATACGGTGGAAGGGGTTTCAGAGATGCCAAGTGCTGTCTCCCAAGTGGACGCGCCGTAAATTACTAGTGAGGTTAGGATGCACCCAGGTCGGGACGCGCTACCTGAAATCACTGGTGAGACATTGTTGTATAAAAACAATATTATGCTGCAAAACCTTGTGAACTAAAAATTTTATAGATCATTGTGCACCTGTTATTTTGTACTAATCTCCAAGAAAAATTCCTACAAAAAGAGTTTTTTCTGTTTGTTTTTATGCAAAAACATGCTTTCCGAAAGCTCAGGGTGACCACAGAAAAGATTGAGCCGCCGTCTTGGCACCTCGAGCTTGGGAGTTTCGGTACTCTGGGAGCATTCTGTGACTCTAGCAGTAGCCATATAAGGCAACTTTCATGTTTCAACTTGTCTCTAAAGGACGGCAATGTTATCGTATTTAGCTCAGTCTCAATGGACGCTAGCGGCACGGGTTTCAACGGTGAGTTTCCCAACTGAGTGTTCCAGTAACATTTGTGGGAAGTCTACCCGATTGAGCTTCTAATGTCTTCTCGGTAGATGAGAAGTTTAGTCAGTGCAGTATGATGCTGTCCTGGGGTCTTCAATGTGTACCACGCACTTGTGGTTACACAACCTTGTGTCGGTACAGTGATCATCCAGATCAAAACGGTTGTGGTGGGGATCGAACACGGGATCTGTGGGTCCTGCGGCACGAGCTTTTGCTCCATGTCCTTCGAGCTTCGCTGCTCTAACGCTCGGCTACTGGTTGACGTATGGTTGTGAAATTACATTGAATCCTTGGTATCTAACAGGCTATTCCCTCTCCAGATGCAGGATTTTTGTATAATTTTGAAAACATGCCAGGTGTTCGCAACTCCAGCCCGTCGCTCGCCCTCTTGCGGACAAACAAAGAACCGGAGGAGTGGAGATGGCAGTGAAGACGGTGGCAGGGCTATTGGCCCTAGTGCTGCGTTTACTGCATTGTTCTGCTGGTCGGCGTGTTCGTGCATCATGCAGTTTTAACAAAAAAAAATAGAGCGCATTGATATAGATATTGTTGTTCCGCTTTGCAACTCTTAAGAATCAGCATGCTCAGATTCTTAACGCGTGTCCACATCTGTCACCTGTGATATGCTGCTGCCCTGACTGCTTCGTGTTTGTAGCCAGATAAATTACTTTTATCACAGTGACCAGCGTCCGCAAGCATGTGCACGGGAAATCCTGGAGAATCTATCCCCCATCTCTTCCGCCATATTGGGACTACCGCCCCGCCATCTAAAGGGCGTTGGAGTTGCAAGTTGTGACACTGCTAAGTTTTTTTGACCATTCTTTGCAGGTCACTCTAACTTTTCTCTGGTTGAGGTTAATCCACTTCAGAGAGATGACTTTTATCGCTCCTTAAAAGACAATCTTTAGATTTGTGTGATTTGCCTCCCGTTTGTAAAATACTTACCTCATTACATTGGTCCCTCAGTTTAGTCTGGTGCAGCGTGGTCCTCGTTCCTGTGGTGCCATAGAGCCTGCGAGCGCCATCATCATTGCCGGTTCGTGTTACAACCAAGGTTATCTACGAGAGGCGTCGCGAGGCCCAGCCAAGACTTTAAACGTCAGGGTGGACATTGTCTCGCACCTCAAGGAAGCATCCGGCGGCACAAGCTGTCCATCTGCCAGTGACACATAGTGGCAAGATGGCAGTTGCAGCACTTGCTGCTCTTGGCATCCTATGTCTACAAGCTCAACCACCTGGGGTCTCATTCACATTCACCACGGTGCACCCGACAAGATTCAAATAGGTGAGAACCAGTGCGTTGAAGACCGTTACTCGGTGCTCCCGGGCTTGCTTAGCTCCATTGCAGAGAGCAAGTTCTTCTGCTTCTTGCAGAGTTGTTGCAATGATATTAGGATGTCGAGCTCTTATTGGCTGATTGAGAAAAATAGTGAGTAGACCTCAAGGCATCTAGCGTTGAGGTCTACCCACTATCCTTTGAATCAAAGCCAATCAGAGATCGCTGCCATTTGCATGTCACTGCAACTTCTGTGCAAGAAGCAGACGACTTACTCTCTGCATAGACTTTTTTTCGAGTAACGAGCAACATCTCAGGAATCGTCTGCAAACTACAAATGAGGGGCAGCACAACACGCCTCCTCCCATCAGGACATGTTGGCAACGTGTCATTGTAACGGATTTCCTTGGTTTTTATGCCCCATATTGATGCTCAAAAGCCATAATTAAAAGAGATTAAATAATGCACAAAAATAGGTGCTGAATGTGCTGGTCGTGTGGGACGGTGCCCTCTGAGAATGGCGACAGCAGGAAGCAAGGCCATGGGGGAAGGTGTACGCATGCACGGAGCTTAATGCAAAAAGGTCTACTTGGTTCTATGGGCGTTCCTGCGGTACGCTCGCATGTCAGGGAGGGCATCGTCCAAATGTTCTAATGCGGAGTTGCGTTTTAACGAAAGCCAACTCCGATTTTGCGGCGTGCGTCACGCGGCACAGCCAAAGCCAGCAGAGTTGACCAGCTGCCAAAAGCGTTAGTAAACAACGAAATAGAATGGTACCAGGGGAGGACCAGGTGCGGTTTTGAAAAGAAGCTCTAGTATGTTCCACGAAGGCTGACGCCGGACATTAGCGTGGCACAAGGCCTTAAGAGGTCGGGATGGGCTTGCGGAAAACAGGGTATGCGACTTCAGCATTTCGGCACTAATACGCTACCGTTCTGTCCGGACTCGCGGTGCTTTTAAACCACGCTTAAATTCGGCACATTGCACCAAATCATATTTGCTGTCTGTGCAACAAGTACTGCTTTGTGCTGAAGAATCCCCCTTTAGCACTAGACACAAACAAGTGGGAAGTCCCTGACCACTGTGCTCAAAATGTGCATGCGTTGCACAAAGGTGGCATCATGGGATTGCTGCAGGGGTTGTTTTTTTGGAGGGTCGAATTTGTGTGAATTTCACTGTTTTATAAATTTTGGGGAAACTTGATCGTGGAGATATATTGGCCCGTGATGGCAAATACACAGCATACTGCTGAGAGCTGTGAAAATTTGGGCTTTAGAAATAGTACCAAAACACGCTTTATCGGATTTCCAATATCGAGCCCGTGAAAATAGTTGTTCAAAGTATATGGTTCTTTCTTTTTAGAACGCAGCATTAGGCGCCCGTTTTCGGCTTGAGCGGCGTCGCCGTTGGTGTAACTGCGCGTTCCATTATGGGACGTTTCCCATAATGACGTCACGAGGGTTACCCTCACGAGGGTTACCCTCACGAGGGTTACCCTCACGCGGGTTACCCCCATGAGGGTTATCCTCACGATGGGGTAACGCTTGTGATGTCATGTGACGTCGCATGCATCTAACGTTGCCAATATTCCTGCTAAATTTAGCAAGAAAATTTTTCCGCTAAATTTGGCAGCAAATTATTCTCGCTAAATTTGCCCTTATGATGTCACGTATGACGACACGTGTGATGGCATGTGTGCTGCCGCTCGTGACGTCACGAGGGTAAAGGCCCGTTCACACTCTTGCGACTGCTTGCGACCTCTTAAACCTGGGTTCCTTAAAACTTCTAAAACCAGAGAACACACTGGCGCCATCTATTGGGAAGCAGTGTAAACTCGACGGTCCGGCATATTTTTTTTTATTTCTCGCGCAATATCCTTTTTTTTTTTTGGCTTGAAAAACTTTTGTCAATGTTATAAACGAGCCTTTCTATGGGTATTACGCACATTTGACCTCGGAAATCCCGCAAAACCTTCGCTTTTGTGAAATGCAGTTCTAGGGTCACCGCAGAGATGGCGCCACAATGTCAGTGTGTCCCCTCATTCTAGAAACATTTAAGAAGTTGTAAGAGATCTCGTCTCTCTCAGTCGTACTCGGTCGCAAGAGTGTGAACGGGCCTTAAAAGTTTACCGCTAAATTTAGCAGAAAACTTTTCCCGCTAGATTTTGTGGGAAAGGGAGAAAGGCGTACCCTCCCCTCGTCCTCTTCAAGAGCTCTGCCCCAATTCGTGGTTACAGAAAATTGTAAACGTCTTTAGTTTTTTATTATCTAATGCCATTTATTGCGTGGGCACCCTAGCAATGTGCTCGCCTCTATAAGAATGTCTCGCTCAAGAAACGTCTGTGTTGAATTGTTTACCATAAAATCCGGAGAGATGCACCACCACCGAAAAGTAACCCACCCCAACTTTTGGCTAGGAGTGGGCTACCGAAAGATAGCCCACTCCTAGTAATCTTAGTGTTCAGAACAGTGATGACCTTGACGTAAATATGTCTAGTGTGCTGTGGCGGGATATAAGCGAACATTGCTGACTGGGGAGTCCAGAAATCTTTGCTTCATTGCCCCTGGCAGAGACAAGCTTGACAGACACTTGACCTAAATATAGGTTTTTTTTTCAACTTTTCTTGGTTGCACACCAAAAGTTAGCCCATTGCTTAATTTCAACCAATTTTCTCGATTTTAGGTGGGCTATCCTCGGAATTTTATAGTACTCATCTGTTCATTTGTGCTTTGAGGGTATCATCTCTTCTAGCCTAGCATCCGCCACTTAAAGCAGTGCCCATCTTTCAGATGCACGAAGCTTTAGGAAGGGGTCTTCCCAAACTTTCCGGAACAGGGTTTCAAATGTTTGGGAAGGTTGGCTGAAGCCAGTGTTTTGGAAAAGTTAGGATTGTTTTGGTTATAGCCAGCAAACATTGATACGCATAGCAACTGCTTGTAACAAAAAGTTCCATTAAACCTTTAAACCTTAGGTTCAAGGTTGTCAAAAATAAACAAACAGTCATCCATAGCTTTTTTTTTCTCCAGAACTTCATAGATTTAAATGCAAAGAACTCCTGAATGTGTTAACAGCAAGCTCTCGTGGTAGACAATGTAATTGGTCACACATGGTGCCAGGACTATAATCTTGAATGCCATGGCAGCTGACTTTCAGAATTGCTTGTACATTTTTTTACAGTGATGTCTCGTTAATATGGACACCTCCTTTCTCCCCTAAATTTTTTCTTAATGTGAGTCGTGCATAATATTGAGGGAAAGTGCACATATTTACTCAGTTTGTTCCTCAAAGCTTTCTTAATGTAGCGAGGTTTCTATATTAACAGAACATAACTGTATAAGCGCAATGTTTTTTGTTTCTTTTTTCCTTCTTTTTGGGTAAAATACATCCAGATGGGAGGCAAAGGCTAAGGGCTGCAGTCCTTTGATTAGATCAATTTTGCCTGAAACGTTAGAAAAGTTTTGCTGTAAAATGTTTGGGAATTTCAGAAATTTTTGGTACTTAAACGGACCATGAAATGACCTTTTACATTTGCCTAATAACTTCTACATTAAACTTTCAATGTTCACTGAATGCCAAACTTGCATCCGTTTTCGTTCTGTTTTATTTACTTTTACACGAAAAATTAATAAAATATTGAGTTCTTTCTCGCCAACTCACCACAAAACAAGCCATGGTATACTTTTTACGGTCGTGACATACTCTGGCACTGGAACCGGAAGTTCTCTCGGCAATAGGAGATTGGGAGCGTTAGGGGCGAGCTGGCTGTTTGCCGGCAGGTTCTACCACCAGGTTTTACTGCGCTGATTTCGTTGATGCCACCGACATATTTGCTGAAGCCATGGACACATTGCAGCTGAGCGAAATTCATTTAGATATGTTGCGCTACAGCGACAGCATGGGACTGGTCCCATTTGTGGTACGACTGTTGGAGAGTGCGGCGAGCCTTCCGACAAAAACTCCAGTTGCTCATCAGAATCAGACGACAAGGAGTGGCGACTCCAATGTACGGAATGTTCTGAGCATACACGGATGACCTTAGACCTGGGGTCCCTCAAACCGATGAGCCTGCACCAAGTGGTTCAACGGGATTCCTTGAGTGGAAAGCGGTGAAACTGCAGCCGTTTCTTTTTAAGCTGTGAACTGCACAAACTGTAATTTGGGCACTTGCAACGAGCGCGTTAGCTGCGACTGCGTCCGTTGTGACCGGAGCGACGTGAACGACCGCTCCACACGCACACATTCCTGCAACCACTGCAACAAGCGCAGCAGGTTGTCAGCATGACGGCCGCTTCTTTGCCGCCGTCAGCTGTTTCTGTGATGCCTTTTAGAAGGAGGGGATGCGCTGCCACTCACTGGCGTAGCAGAAAGTGCTCAGAGTTTTCTATGGGCTCAAGCTTTATTAACTTTTATTTTTTCAGGAGAGGCTCACAGGGCAGAGTGGATGAAAAGAAGATTAGAAAAAGATGCAGACGCCGTCTTGGACGATCACGACTTTAACAAACGACTTCACCCATTGCACAAATCTCGCCACACGCCTTTTCTATGATTGCAAACGATGATGTAATCTTACCAGCGACATAGCAATATAGAAATATAATCTCATGATTCTGTTGTCTTGAGGGTGCCGCCACAACGTCGCCAATGAGTTGGTGGATCTTCCCTTCTAGGACGTGCTCGGTTTTTATTAATACGACGAAAATTCGGTCAAGGATAGCGCTCTTCACGGAACGATTTGCTTCCACCACGCCGACCAGGTTTCTCAGCAGAGAGCAGGAACCGCAAAAGAGTGCAAGTGCAGTCTTATCTTTCTCTTGCTTCATTTACCACATAATAGATGACGTATGGCTCCAAGCAATATCAGTGATGTGATTGCTGCGCCAATTGCGCCAAACTGCGCCAAGGGGCTAACCCTGCTACATCCTGCTACATTTCGCCAAAATATGGGTAATCTGCGCCAAGCCTGCGCCAAGGACCAATTTCGGTCGCCTTCCAAAACTGAAACTAAACTGAGCACCGTAATTGAGCATGCGTGAGCTAGGTGGCGCAAGCGGCCGCCCGACAGAAAGTATGCATGCATCAATCGTCCATCCGGTCTTCCATTGTTTTTCCCGCCGTTTCTCATTTCGCCCTCTCGTAAGTCTTGTCTCGGATCCTTTTAAAAAAAAATTTAAGGATAGATGCAAGCGTATATGGACGCCCCGACGCTAGCTTGCCGGGTACCAACCATGCCGTCATGTTGTAAAACGAAGCCATGTTTTTGCGCTGTGGGAGTTACTTTGTGACCTGAAGCAGTCGCTTCTGAAAGAACTGGCGTGGCAAAACTATTTTTGGTCCCTGCCTTCCAGTCACCGTGGTTACATGACGTCGGGTGTTCCCGTCCACACATTGCTGCAGATATGGCGCTTTCTAAACTGAAACGAAAATACCGCTGCAAGGTAATCAGCAATCCTGTCCTTGTTTAAATGAAATGCTACTACGAAAATTCCTCTTTAACTCAAAGACTGCTGTGTCGAAGTATTGATTACCTAGGTTTCTCTCGGTGGGCTTTCTTTTGAGAGGGGCCCCGGTACGGTGAAAAGTCTGTCGCAAAAGAAAGTTTAAGGCGCAATTCAGCTAAATCAAAAAAGGCAATGTCTGCACGCTGAACCCGCACAGCGCGCTTGTTTATCTCGAGTTCAGTTGTTGCGCAAAGCGCTCCAAAAACTGTTTGACCCTGATTCGCGATTTCTTGCATTGATGCGCTCAGGTTCTTTTTTTTTTTTTTGCGTTTGTGATTAGCTTTATTCTTATTTTGTTTGCGCTTTTTAAGCTTTTAAATTAGCTTGTGCCTACTGACCTGGCAAACACGCGCTGCTAAGCTTTTCTTTTTTTTTTTTGTATGCTGGAATGTTACATTTTGCATACAATTTTGGGGATCAGATGGCGACGGAACGGAGTGGCAGAGTTTTGGTTTCTATCGAACAGCCGTCTCCGCTTGCACAACGAAGCGCGTGCAACTGCAAGCTGCCCAAGTTCCCCTCACGTGCATGCGAACATGATTGCACGACAGAGGCACCGACCGGGATGCTTGCAATCGATTGCTTTACATTTGCTTGCTTTTGACGAAAATCTGGCATGTCGGGAACCAGTAAAACGGTGGGAGACATTTTAGAATTGCTCAGCAACGCCTACAGCACTGTACACTTGTGGGGTGTCTCAACGTCTCTTTGGAGACATTGAAAGTGGACATTCATTACTTGCCGAAAGCTAAGCGAGGCGTGCAGCAAGTTTCAAAAAGCAAACGGAAAAGCACCCGCCAGTCGTACTGCACCTTTTTCATATGTACAGTTTCGTACTGCACTGCAGTAGTTACGTGTTTCATCAGTCGGATACTGCTTCAGTTTATTATATTATATTATATAACTAGTGAACTTTATGCTTTCATATTTACTACTAAGCTGGTCATTTTCAAATAAATTTAATATGTGCCTTTCGGTTCTTATTTATCTATAGCGGGTACATATACATAATTTAACTGAAGCATTGCAAAATATGTCGTGTCATTGGCATTTCGTTAACATGTTGAAAGACTTCCAGGTGGTCTAACTTGACTATAATTTGTTTATTGCGGCGAGCGAAGTGCCCTTATTTGTCCAGCACTTAAAACAAATATTTTTATTTTTCTAAGAATATCTGCTCCAAAAGCCACTTTTGCTGCTCCGAAACACTGTTTTAGCGGCTCCGAAAGGTGCTCCAAAACGGCTTAGTCAAATCACATCACTGCAATATAAAATTTGGCAATTTCCATCACATCGCTAATTATGCTACAACATGTAGAAACTACAACTACTACAAGCTACAAAACAAAAATGATCTGGATCTGGAGCTCTAACTCTAACGTGACGGAGGCCGTTGCCTGTGATATATTTTCTTGGTTTCGCTAACGAGTGCCGCGACTGTGTTCCCCTTAAAACTACCACTTCTCTTTTTTTTTTTATGTGTGTTTTGTTGAAATGTAGTTTTTTCATGCTCAAGTGTTGTTACTTGTACTGTTATATATATGAATATATGACTTTTTTCTTTCGCTTTTTCCAATGTTCCTCCTCTCCTTTAATCTCTCTAAAAATGCTTTGCAACTGTATTTTCTGCACACTTGAAGAAGGGAAGTCTCTTTCCGAAACTTCGTGTAATATAGCCTCTAGTCCAGTTCAAACATTTTCTATGTTTACGACTTTCTTGGTGAAGACTTGTTCATTAATACAGGTACAAAATGTGGATCAGAATATTTTTTTTTACAAAACCTTTAAAAACCATTTGCCGGCTATTTATTGTTTGTGATCGCGGTGCTGGTGAGGTAGGCTCTTATCTGAAAGGCGACGTGGATTTGGCTGACGTGCTTTGGCACCGCGGATGCATCGCAGTAAAAAGGCAGAGAGCTTTCGAAGGAAAGGTGTAAAAGAGTCCGCTTTTCTTTTGAAATTTCTATGGCGAAACAACTTTTTGGGGTCTCTACTTCTGTGTTTTGGTTTTCTTTTCACACCTTCTACGATTAATCACATATAATGACAAAAAGAAACCAGGGGATGTGCTGGCCTACTTTCGAATACATATTCGGCAGTACGCCAGTATATCCCCTGGTTTCTTTTTCCTTTTCTTTTTCTTTTATTTTCCTTCTAGATGTGGAGCATCTCTTGCTCGGGTGTTTCGCGGCGTCGTCGTCCGCACGCACACTACGCATGCGCAACTCTCCTCCCTCCCTCTCTCCAACAGCTGCGCGTTACTCCCTCCGCTCTCTCTCTCTACCAGCTGCGTGCACTTTGCGTGTGTTCGCTTCTACTCACACCGCGCGCGCATGCGCAACTCTCCTCCTCTAGTCTCCTCTCCTTCAAGTGTGAATATAAGCAGCGGTAGCGCGCTGCGTGCGTTCAAAGGTGACATATTGAGCTTCCGGCTCAGCAACACTTCCTTTGATTTCCTTGCTCTCAAAACTCTGACTGACTGCGCGCGTTCAAGGGGAGGAAGTGGCCGAGTGGGCTAACGCGTCTCAGCTTGGAGCGTGGAGCGAAAGTTTGCGTTGGGAACCTCCTGGGTTCGAGTCCCCGCCACCCCCGTCTGTTTCGATCTGGATGAGTTTTGTACCGGCACGCGTTCGTGTGCACATTAAAAATCCCAGGTTAGCGGTTGTACTGCACTGGCTAAATTTCTTATCTACAGCTAAAAGACCGATTACCCGTTGAGGCGCATCTCCATCAAGGCTGTATAAACATAAAGAGCAAACCAATTTCTGCGCACGTTCAGTTCACCGCTGTTGACTCCACTTCACTCCGTTCTTCCGATGAAGTGTGATGGAACGATGCTCCGCATCACCCCATGGTTCCCCTCGGGAAGATGGTGTAATTTTTTCTAGTCTTATTTCCTTTTCGTTGTCTTCTACTTTTCCTCTCAAGTGTTTTGGGCTGGCAGCGTGTTCCTTAAGATTGAAGAGGTTTGAAGGAATACACATGAAGAGTTGATAGTTCAGCACTGTTTGAGCATATTTTTTATGAGCTTGGATTTGTTGAGTGACTGCCTACCTGTGCGCTGGTTTGTGAATCATGCTTTACCAACTTACCCAATCTCTAGTATTAGCAGTGTCTTGCAACTTGAGCTAAAACAGTTTTTCTTCAAGGGAAGTGTCTTTTGTGACACGTGTGTTCTATGCAGACATATAAAAAAAATGCTTTTACAGTAAATTGATAGCTCTGTCGGGAGCTTTAAGTGCTGGGATTTTTTTCCGGCATGCCAAATGCAAGTTTTTGTTCTTGGTAACACTGTAGCATGTGCTTTGTGAAAAATATTTATCAGACATAGGAAGTTCTATGGGCAAACAGTCTGCATGCCTCCAAACTAAGACGAGTTCTGTAGTATATTACTGGTCGAGAAACAACTGTGTGAAGGGCACCTCGAGAGTGACCTTGCACCCCGATCTTGCTCTTTTGAGTGCCCTTGCTCTGCCTTTTTTTTTCTTTTAAAGGTCGACGACCGCACTCGAGATTCTGCAAGGCAGAAAATCCTCCTCACCATGGGGGGGAGGAAACGGGCAACGGTGGACGATGTAGAAGAAGGGAGAGGAGGACGCGGAAGAAAAGTGGAAAGCGCGAACTGGTCGTCGATTTTTAAGCTGGAACTGTTTGTTTTCAAGCGTCCGATGCAGAAATCATTATTAATATTTAGATCTCGGTGTTTGCCACGACCTGTGAGGTCGAACTGCATTGATTGGCCATTCTGAAACAATGATAGAGCTTACAGTTGCCTAAACAAAGATTTTCACACGCCGTAAAAAAAATGGCACTACACGATAAAATATTGTCTTAATTGCTCGTTTATACATGGCGATTCATTGAGAAGAAAATTGATAGCTCTTTGTCGTAAGCATCCCAGCCACCTCTGCTCTCCCCCCCCCCCCCCCCCCCCCCCCTTCCTCCGAAAACAACCGCACGTTGCATACCCGAGTATACTTGGGCATGGCACTCGAGGGGTTAATCATTGGCTCTTTACAAAAGGTATCTTTATACCCTAGGCCACTTCGTGCTGCCGCCGTCCTGCATCGTCGTGCATTGGGGCCTACGAGCCTCAAGCAATGTCATCGCGATAAAGACTACAGTTTTACGAAAGGTAAGGTCCAAGCTCGGGAAGGTGAGTGTCTTCATTCAACTGTTTCAAGCGACATGCTTTAGATTCCTACGAATAAAGCAGCAATGTCGAAACACTGCAGAAAGGCTCTCGTGCTCTTCATTATAAAAGTAAGCCCTCGAACGAAACGTGGAACTGATGACGGCTGTGTCCTTGTGTTTGGAACCGCTTTTGCGACGGTGTGCCACGACTACGGTGCGAGGTCGAGGGCATGCAATGGCTCTAGGGGGCATGCCACTCTGCCTCGGCAGCTGGCTGGCAGTGCTGCTGGGGACGGCGTCCGTGTTGTGCCGCATAGTGAAGCGCTGCCCGCTCCGTCCTATTGGGATGCACTTACAGCATCTTCGCGGCTTCTGCATGGAGTAAGGGTTTGGCTCCTTGAACTTTTGAAACCTACCCACACCCAGTGTTTTTCTGGATCTGTTTTTCGTCATTCGACCCGCTGGACTTGTTCGGAGCTCGGGCTCGATTGCTGCGGTTACAGGCGGCATCGGCAACGGCGGCAACGTGCCTCCATGTTTTTCGTTTATCTGGGCCAGAAGTTGCCCCTACGAAGTGTTTGTGTGTTCGACGGTTCCGAAAGCGGGCATTTGTCGAGGGGTGCTGTGTACGATACTTTTTACATTCGGATAAGGCACTATGTGTGGACTGTAGTCCAGAAAATATTGTATATTTGTGTTTTGAAGAAGGGGGGATGGTATGCAGCCGGGGCGGATTTGTGGCTGAAGTATACAAGTTCCCAAAAAACGCTCCTAGGCCTCCGCCATGTTGCTGATGCTGATGCGGCTGGTGCAACTCTCGCGCCCTCTATCAGGTAGAAATTTTCTGCCACTCTCTTGGACTGTGAAGACCTGCTCAGCGCGGTTCTCTACCTATGTTTTTGCTGTTTTGCATTCAATGTTTTCTTGCCCTTCTTGGAAGTTTCCACTTAATTTTCTTGTTTATGTGTGCTGTGTACCCTTTCTTTCTTATCTTCCATTGTGAGAAATAAGGCTGGTAAGTGCCTGCCATTCAAGCTTTTCTACTCGACATTCACTTGAAACGGAGGAGGTGAAGGACTTTGAACGGCCCTCGACGCGATTTTGCAAACATTGTTATCCCCCCTCCCAGAGATAATCCGCGTAGAATCCTCAGTCATCTCCAAAAAATAGTTGTCCGGGTTGGGGTGGGAAACAGGTCAGTCGCATTCGTTCCTTTGCCTTGGTGCTGTTGTGAAAAAAGGAAGCTCTCCCCAAAACGTGCCCCAAAACGAAGTAAGCTTGTATTCCGTCCGATCATCAAGATGTGACTGTCGTCGACTGTGATTGTGTTATTTGAGGTCTTTCTCAAATAAATTCTTTTCGGATAACACTGCATCATGTGGTACGTACGATATACTTTTCGAATGTTAACACTTCCTAAATTGTATGTCGGTGCCCTGCCCATCGGTAAACATTATTTGTGAGTGGGAAAAATGCATGCCTTTCAGCTATCTTCTCTTGTCAGTTATTTTCGACAGCTAAGCGCTTTGTTGTTTGACATACGGCGAATCGCGCAACTCCGTCAAAACCTACCGTAAAAAAAAAAAAAAAAAAAATAGAACTTTTTATTTTAGTCGCATTCATTCTGTCGCGCGCATACCCAACAAAAATAGTTTATAGGTTTTTTATTGCTTTTTGTTTTTTTTCAAATCTGGCACAATGCTTTCTCAATAACCCTGGGAAAATACATGCACCATGAAACACAAAGTACAGCGGGAAAAGACGAGCATTGAGCCACCAACAGTGTTTGAAACTGCGCCTATGCAGGCCGTGCCTATTGAAATCACAGTCCACTCGGTTAGGTTAGCAGGGACGCCGGTAAAAGTCTAGCCTCAAGCCCAGTGACTGGGCTCGAAAACGGTTTGCTGCCCCTGGGGTCGAGTGTTTCTTGGAAAGCTGTATAAAAAGGTGCGTGCCGGCGGAGTTGCTGGCAGCGTTCTCCACAACGACCGTCGGCGGGGCCAAAGTTTATCAGCATCAATGTAGCGAGTCGCTACATTGATGCTGTGCAAAGTCACATATTGAGGATCCATTACACATCCCGCCAAGGCAAGACAAGCTTTGAGCTTGGTTGGTGACGAATGTCGTGGGCACGCCATATCTCGGAATCCAACGATTTAAGAGGTAGTCGACTTAGGAGTATGTGCTGCTGTAGAGGGTACAGCATCAGCATCAATGTAGCGAGTCGCATGGTCGATGCAAACAAGGACATACTTTTGACCGTTGCTTTCTTCCAGTGGTCCGAAGTGGTTGAGAGAGACTGTCGTGTTCGGAGAGTCCGGGACTGCGCGAGGTTGCGGAATGCCTTCTTGAGCTGTGGTTCGTTGGTTCATGCGTTGGCACATGTTGCACGTTCGAACATACTCCCGAATGTCTCGCGACATCTGAGTCCACCAGTAGTTTCTCTTGATTTGTTCCGTCTTTCGCTCGATGTCCGTGCCCTGCCGAGTCATGACAGATGCTCATAACGGAGTTTCGAAGCGTGGCAAGCACAACGATTCTCTTGAAGTTTTCGTTCATTTTTAATAAGATCCCATTCGATCGTTTGTAGTCGTTCCCAGGCTGTGACGCTAGTCGTTGACAGAGCGGGTCGATCTGTTGCTGTTCCCATAGGCGGCTGTTCGTGCTTACTTGTGCACTCAAGCTGATGACGGAGGGTTTTGTCACTCCGGCGTCAGTGAGGACAGTCTGGGAGTCTTCTGGGTCGTATGGATGTGAGGGGGTGTCCGCCTTGTTTGACTTGCTCGGTCGGTGTACAATTTCGAACTTGTAGTCCAGAGAGGTTGAGGATCCATCGTGCAAATCTTCGGTTGGTCAGGCCATTCTTGACAAAGTATGCGAGGCACATGCTGTCCGTAATGACTGCAAATCGCGGTCCTCAATGGAAGTATATTGAGAACTTAGGCGTTATGGGCAAAGTTCAGTTCTCGCTCTGCATAGTATAAACGGGCTGGGCCCACAATCCCACGCGCTCGCACCGCGCACTCGCACGTAGCGCTTGCGAAAAGTTACGTATTGAGGATCCATTACACATCCTGCTGGGGCAAGACAAACAAGCAGACAAACGAGCTGGGCCAAGCTAACACATTGGTAACTTTGCCTAAAACTGTTGCAATAAAACAAAATTTGCATGGATATTTGCGCAGTGGAAAGTCTATTATCCTGGTGTCAACTCCTGAGGCGTGAACAAGCCTGTACGCTAAGGGCGACTTTGCATACCGCAGTATGCAATACCTTATTGTCTCCTCTGTCTACCTGGGCTTTTTTGATAGAATGTTTTTCTGCTGTTGCTGAAGAAACATGGCCCTCTTGTTTCGTTCAGCTGTTGTACTCTGAAATTATAACACCAATATACCCTACAAGGAAGAAAAAAGGGAATAACAATCTTACTAACAGTAAGGTGGCGTTGTTTTATTGAGATAGTTGAGAGGTTTTCTCGTCTTTTTTCAGGGTGGCAACTTCACCACGAAGCTTTTTGAAAGCCTGTTGCTTCTTGCACTTTGTGGTTAGCGTGTTCATTTTTCTACAATACACCTCTGTCCTCCTTCCAATCATGTTAGTATGGACGGAGATATGTCGTGATGACTTTGGCTTATCGTTGTCAGTTGCTGTCTGACGTTGCTGTAATCGCTGTATCGAGAGGTTTATCGGCTCCACCTCGGCCCCTCCAAGGCAGCATTCCTCTCATTCACTGGGCTCAATGTCCGTAGCAGATGAAATGCTAGTATCGTCATGTATAACTGTTGCAAATCTTCTGTGAAATGGGTTATGCGCAAAAAGAAAGTGAATGCATAAGAAAAAGAATGCATGCGGGAGTTAGACGTGTCACCGGAGGTTTCCTATTATGCTTCGAATTGCACTGCTTGTAGATCGGATAATTCTCGAACACCGTTGGCACCGATGTCATATTGAGCTTTTTTATTTTCGCATTCTCTTTATAGTCATCTGCTGTAAAATGCAGCTAGCATAGGACAGTGCGCCCGCTGTCACTTAAGTGCCACAGAGAGTTCTTTTTACCTTTAAAAGAAAAAAAAAAAAATTAGAACTTGTCCTGACTGCTTTTTTTTTTCTTTTTTCAAATACAATATGACGCTATTATTTTTACTCTCCAAAATAACTAAGAAGCAAAAAAAAAAGAAAATATTGGCACTTACCTGCTCTTAAAGATTCTTGTGATTCAATATTTAACTTGTCGTATAATAGATGAAATTGAAGACATCTGTCTATTTGCTAGATGGGATAGAGGAGTCTTATTTCACACAGATACAATAGGCCAGTGCATTGCTAAGAGAAGAAAAATTTATTGAACAAGCGCTTACGGAGTATAGTGATGCACATACATGTGCTGTGAGGTCATGGTGAAATGATCGAAACGTATCACTTGATAAGGGTTGTCCCCAAACAAGTCCATTTCTCTGACACAGCGCGTGACAAATGAATTCTCTCAGTTCTTCGACAGCAATGTCAGGTTCTTCGAGTTTACACGATTCTACGAGGTTGATTTGCAGTTCATACGTCAAATTGTGAATGCCGTAATTGATTACACTTCGCGTTGATTCAGAAAGTTCCCCCACACGCAAACCCGACGTCACCTCCCGTAGGAGAGAACCGTTGAACAACTTGAAAGGTCGTACACATTTTTTAAGCTTCTCCACGAACACCACGTTGACCCAATACGGTCCAGAGGTGAATTTCATCACAACGTCAATGTTCCCTAGTGACAAAAGTCGATTGTCGATGCACCAATTTTCACTGTCGGGTATTGTCACTATTGTGAAGCCTGGTGGAAGCACGTTGAAATAATCTGCGTTGTTGAAGAGTGTGATCCATTCGTCAGTCACCGTGGCTTTCACATTCTCCATCCACAAGTTCACACAAGTGATGACGAGTTTGTAAAACGGTGGCGCACTGTCCCGCTGATGATGATGGTCACCACAAGCGATGTCTTCGCGTTTTCTTGACGTATTCTTCTGCTTCTAGAGATGGAGGATGGTCGAAGTTGTTT